AACTAAGCTGAGTCCTTTGATAACAGAGCTAAACGATACAATTCGTGACTCCTCTGCGTCTTTTAAACGTAACTGAATAATGCTTTATCCTAAGACTCTTGCTTATTACGTTAGAACTTTCATTGTGCGCTGTTAAATATTACGACGACGTTATTTATTTTATATTATATTTTACTATGTAGGAAATCTAGGTGCAAAATGACAATTCTTACTTACCATCATATTTCAATTAATCCATATAAAAATTAGAAAATAACAATAATGTTATTTTCTAATTTTTGGATAGTACAAATAAACTTTAAAAGATATTGTATTGTAACAAATATTAAAATTTAAATATACCTACAAAGGTGTTTTTTTTTCTTAACTTAATATTTTTGTAACATTCGCTACGTAAACAAGAGTCTTAGAATACTGGGTTTGTTACACAACTAGAAATGTCTAGCGTATATGTTAACGAAACGAGATCATGTAAAAATTCAATTACTTATATATACCAACAATAGGTTTTAAGAATATTTGAAACATATTAGAGCTTTGAAACTTAGAAATTACGTGCGCTTATTTTTCAGCTTAACAATATAAAATTTCGATCACAGACAAAATTACTAATTATTATTATGCACGCTTTAACATTGCATTTTATATGTTTTTGAAATATAAAATACTAAACTTATCAATATAATATTCTAGAACAATATAAACGTGTGATTATTCAAAGCTGAAACAACCAGTTTTTGTGACTAAAATTATTTCAAGGCAACAATTTTTAAAAATGATAAAGGCGAACAACTTCACACAAGTTCACTTATGCTAAAATTTGTAGCGCTTATATTTTTAGCCACATTATTTAAATGTATATTTTACAGTGTCTTTCCTGTTCCATACGTAATGTATGTCGAAGAAATGAGACTTTTTTTGTGTATCATATTGACCGTAACGACTATACGATTCGATCGACAAATTTGTACGTACACGCTTATAAATGTAAATTTGAACTTTGTAGCTGCAAGCACACTTAAAACTGAATTAAATAAATACATACAGACATACATTACATTTAAGGTAATAAATAATAACAGCTATTATAAATATATTGTTAGTTTTAGTGCACAAAGACGAATGCCCAACTTTCAAATGTCGTTATGTTTACAGAATAATCGATCTATCCAATAATATGAACGTATCGAAGTAGGATTATATCATTGGTAGGATAAACATAATTTGTTTTGTTATAATGCTGATGACTGTGATGAAAGATTTTTCCAACTTTATTAACAACGACGTATGATATAGTCGAATCGAAGTGAAATAGTGCCGGTCAACATTCTAAGCGTACAAAGATAAACTATGAGTTTAACGTAGATAATAGATTCCTACTTTATTGTTAATAAAAGTTATATTATACTATAATTATGATTATTTTCGAATTTAGTATAGCTTCATCGATCGTCAACATACTAATATAGGTATAATGGCTTTGAATCCAACAAATAATTTGTGAGCAAAATTTTTGTTATCTTGACCGATAGAGGGAATAGTGAATACTGTTGCATATATTTTTATGTAAAAAAAATGCACATTTTGTCAATATGAAAGTTTTCAAATTATGGATATATTCAAAATATAAAAAATGACCAATCTTTGAATCTACACCCAAAGTATTGATAGAGCTTAAATTTAATTGATAACAGAGAACACCCTGCGTTTTCAAAGCTTAATTTGAAGATATGCTGATCGTTGAAGTAACGTTAATACTTAACCACAGATATCGTTAGCATTAAATTTCCTCAACTCTTAAGAACTAAAATTGCTGCTTTTAATTAAGTCTATTACGAAACTACAAAATATGAAATAAAAAATACTTGTACTTTATATTTATATGATCAAAAGTAAAGTAAAAGAAATTTTTATGAAGTATGAAAATTAAATATATATAATTCTTAGACATTTTCGTAAATATTGAAAGGGAGGGCTCTTAATATTTCATTCTTGATAAAATAAGTACTTGTTAAGTATTTATTTAATGTCTTATACTATCATCGAAAAATGAATGAGCTGACTGTTACTATTTATAAAGCATATCGTAAAATGATAAAGGTTTAGAAAATAATAGATTAATGTCGTTCAGGGCTAATTACGAAGTGATAAACCGAAAAGTTACATAATGTTTACTCGTGTTATATAGATTTTTATATCCTATGTGAGGTTTCATGACAAGGATAATATCTAAGGTAAGGTAGGTACATTTACAAAATAAATGTAGAATAACTAATTGATTCAGAAAAAAAGAATAATTATTAATCTTGTAATTAAACTAAGTCCTCGGTTATGTTTAAATATTGTTTGAATCGTTGGCATTATAAAGTCACTACGTATATTTTATGAAATTCTAAATCTATGAAAGCAAGTAGGTATCTAATTAAAGCGTACTATAGTAAATAGCTAAGCAACAAATATTATTTAGTAGTTAAAGACTTGAGTTAAGGTGTACAAACTACCTAAATACATTTCAATTGACCGACTTATCTTCTAAGTCTACCTAAGAATAATACTCTACAAATTATGCTTTTGACTAAAACAACTCTGTAATATTTATGATAGTTTTTTTTCCTTTTTTAAATTAACAATTTTAACATACGTACATTCGTGGCGTTTTGAAACATAATTTTGTTTAAAACAAATAGTTCTTTAAGTTAATTAAATTAAAATAAAGTGGTTGGTATAGGGCGGCCATAGGTTATATTAATCCCAAGCGTTCTAGAACTTCTTCGTACATACTTAGTCAATCTTTTAGACACAATTTTTAGTCATTTTTTTATACCGCCGTATATTTGTTTTATGTTTAGGCAATTAAGATCTGATTATAAAATAGTTTACATAAAATATTATTCATCGATGAAACTACTTTACTTTCTTTAACTATCAAAATAGATCAGCTGATATTCGATATTGCTACTGAGATTTATGGTAGGTGAAAAGTTGTTTTTATTTTATTTTTTATTGCTTCCTACATAAAAAACAAAAATATAACATTCTCTACCACTGATATTTCATTTTTAAATATTCAAGATTTATATTTTGCAGTTTGAAATGTGATTTTGTGTTGTCAATTACAGAGGTTGATGTTTTTTTAGAAAATTATTGTTATATTGAAATATGTATGTATTTAGTTACTTTTAAACTTTTAGGTAAAAGTACTTTCATTCATGAAATATGTTTTTTTAATTACCTATGTATGTTAAGTGTCCCTACATAAATAATTTGAAAAATGGAAATGCCTGTTCTTAAATGAAAGCGTAATGCCTTTGTTTGTTTTACTGATTAAAAAAAATATTGTAAAACTGAAAAGAATATTTTTTTGGTTTATTTTTTAATAGTTACTATAAATTCAATGTTAAATAATGAAACCAAAGTTACATACCAATTAATATAGTTTGGGAATCTTACCAGTTTCTATATATGTATTTTGCGTCAACACCTTTTTATAAAACAATAATTTTAAATAGCCAAATGTCTAAGGCCTATAAACGCAGCACCATATAACGGAATTGATACTCCACGCTATCTTTCATGGTGAATATGATGTATCTCTCACATATTATTATACTTAGTTGAGAATATTTTTCCGATATATTGTGCCATTAAAAGTAAGCTCAACACTTACGAATTATAATAACTTAGTAAGCACGAAATAAAAATTAGCGTTAATATACATATAGTTAGCTTGTTTAGTTGATACCATAGCCGCTTATTATTAAATATATTATAACGTACTCAAGATGTCTGTTCTTACTATATGTAGATTTTATTGCTTACATGATATATTGGCGAGATGTCTTATTTCGTAACTAGGATTATATATTACCACATAAAGATACAATCTTTGAGCCACAATTTAGCAATAACTCTTAGGTAAAATGCAATTTTGTAAAAGTCGCTTTTAAAAGCAGACATTATTTAGCTTTAAATGTTATTTTTGTTTTACATAACCCAATCATTAAACTGATCAGATCACAACAAAAATATTAAGAGAGATAGAGTCATATATTAATCATCGTTGTCAAACTATACCTAGTGGGTTTTTAAATCAGAATAAGACAACAATATAAAAAGCTTAAATCATAATAATATATAAGTCACAGCAATACGGGAATGGCATTTCTTAGTAAGTATAAGCTTCGTTTCATAGTGATCTGACCAATTGCACGACTGGCGTTGTTTATAAACGAAAAATAAGTGGTTTCAATATAATTATTGTTAATTCATCAAAAATGTACTTTTATGCGTCTTTTAAACAATAACAATTAAAAATAAAGATTAATCAGTCAAAGTTTGGGTAAATAAAAAAAAAAAATTAGTTTATTATAGTACTCGTGGGTATGCATCATCAAACTTTATATGGTACATACACAGTACACACCTATAATAATAATGACAAGCGAATTTTCATAAACGCACTTCCACAAGGAGCATTCCAAAATGTTTGATCAATGTAGTGTTAGATATTACCTAGCTACAATGTAAAGGCAAGGAGCAAGGACGGGTAGAAAGCGTTTATCGTTTACTCTCTTCTGGAAATACAGTTCACGGTATTACGTAGTGTCTCAGTCTTATAACTTTATACTGTGCGGCTGAGATCTTAACTTAAAATTACAATTTGATCGATGAAATCGATTCGACAGGGAATGCCGACGATCGCAGATAGAACAAAAACGAGATCCGTAATATCCTGACATAGTGCTATTGTATATTATAAATAATCCCTCGTAATTATGTATAAAGGTTGTAGTCTACAACAAAATTAAAGCACCCTATGCGTCCACCGATTATTGCGTGTGAAAACACTCATAAAATTTACAAATACGGGTATTATACGAACTAAGGCCAATTTTTATTCGACCCAAACTTGGACACTATTCAGTAACAGTTATTCGCGTAAAATACAAATGGACTCCGTGCGAGCGTCGGTACGCTCTATAGATCGCGAGGACGTGTCAATTAGGCATCGACGAGAGTACAAAATTGGTCCGTGGGGTCGGGCGCGTCAGAGGAAGGTCCTCAAATCGTCGCGGCGCACATGTGTTATGCGCCGGCAGAAGTGGAAGCGCGCGCGCGGCGCGGCGAGCGTGCTGCTGGGTGTGCCGCCGGGCGTGCCGACGGGCGCCGCCGCCGCCAGCGAGCCGCACGAGACGGACTCTGCGAGCGAGCGCGTCGATGGCCGGGAGCGGGGAGCGCTCGTCTCGCCTGCCTCACACTACCTGTAGAACGAGTGTGAGTGTGGCGGCGGCGGCAGCGCCGGCGGCACGGGCGCGTGGGGCTCCGACGCCGACCGCTGGACTCCCGGCGTACGGTCGGCACGCTCCCGCCCGCCGCGCCCGCCACGCTCGCGGTCTCCGTTCCAATTCCACTCCCACTGGTTCTACGAAACCAAGTTTATTAATAAATCAAGCTTTTAGATATTGTACTTAGGAAAAATAGTCATACCTACATAATTCATAAAAATACCTCATTCGATTGAGGAACGGAAAGCGAAGCTTTTGGTAGAGGTTGCGAAGGAGTGTGCGCAGGCTGCGCATTGTGGTGAGGGGCATCCCGGGCTTGCAATAATTGTAAAATACGTCGCACATCTGCAGTGAGGCCCGTTTCTAATACAGCAACTCGTCTACTTAGCTCTTCTAACCTCGTCAGGATTGTTGCTACCGATGCCGCAGTAGCAGCTGCACCCACATTTTGATACTGTGGTGAAATAACATCCTGCCAAAAAATATAAATGTTAACAATACAAGTCTATATGTAATTATTTAACTATTGCTACTACTCCTTTTGTTACCTGCGTTGTATTTTGTACTCTTTCAGATGTGAAGGCAAGCGCCGTCGGCCGGCCAGTTTGATGTAAATTGACAGCCGAGTGTGGGGCTGACCTAGAGGTGCGGCCTACGGCTTGTGGCGCACTTGGAGCTAGGATGTCGTCGCAGGAGACGTGGACGGGTGCGGGCGCCGGCGGACTGGGAGACGCGTTGGTATAATACGAGCTAGGGTTAGTGCTGAGGCTTGACACTGGGAGCGTAGCGCTGTGCGCGGGTGTGCTGACTGCTGGCTCACCAGCCATACCTCCAGTCAACGGCGAAGTGTCATTCAAGGGACCTACAGAAGACTGCCGACGAACGGCTGCTCGACCTCTGTATGTTTGAGGTGTTGATTGAGCTGTAATTGATCAAAGTGTTATTCTTTATACTAACAAGCTCTCAATAATATATCTGATGTCTCATTATATTGTTTAATATTAACATAAGTTTTAAGTAATTTCTATCATACATACATACACACAAATATTTACAATGAATGTAAATGATTTTCATAATGTTTAATAAATTTTGTACCATTTCATTGTTAGCTTTAAATTTATTTTGTCTATTTTATTACAATACATAAATATATTTAATAATGTTACTGTTAAAAGAATTTTTGATAAAATATGGGGTTAATTTGTCGAATTCAAAGGAACATGCAACTAAAGATTTGTATATGCATACTTACAGTATTTGTTGTGTAGCGGCTGGTGGGTTTTATGGTGGTAGAGGTCTGGGAAGCTCCGTTTTAGTTGCGCTAGCATGCCTGCACACAAGGGCCGCGCTCAGAGCGGGCGGAGGAGGAACGTGGTCATAAAGCATGTGTTAGTATGATTATTTATGGGGACATTAATTCAGCAGTTATACCGGATCATATGCTTGACATATCCATTCCACGTTCCTCTCACCACCGTTATCGAAAAGGAGAAATGTGGGACCAAAAGCGTATCACATGCTGCCTCAAATTAAACCAATACGACATAAATTTTAGCTTATTTAGGTAATCCCTTAATTACTTTTTCCAAAATAATTTTAATAATGACTTGTATGAGAGAGGATCAAAAATGTATCACAATAAACGCCGTTTTGTCTTATGGATTCTTATTGAAATGTATGTCTAAGATAAATTGTATGTAATAATAGGTCTCTACCTAAGAAGAAGAAAAGAGGTTTAGTATGTGGTATAGTTACCATTCTTGTAGATACGTATAATAAAATAAAACTAAATCATTCAAATAAATAAGTAAATACATAAAAAAATAAATATAAAAGAACTTTTTATTAGTCGCTCATTTGCAATGTGACCAATACAAGAATAGTTCTATTTGAAAAGAGTCATTTGTATACTTCATAAGGATATTATATTTAAAAGGGATTTGCACATCGTTCCATATTTCTATGTGCATCTACACTAGAATAGTAATGTTATTTATAAATACCACTAAGCACGAACATCAAGTTTCAAGTAAATACCTCGAATATTTTTTTCAATGTTATATCGTGCCGAGTGTTGTAAATAATTAATGTTTTTTTTAAATACTTAATATTACATTCCAATAGCATATTATTGTATACATTATTTTTGTACCTGTAATAGAATTAAGCGTTGTGGAACGTTGCTTACTGAAGTTGAAGTTTAAAGGAGTGACATCCTGGCCTGCTTTGTCCGCTGAAAATTCTAAAATGCCTCGACTAGGCGGAGACTCTGTGTCTTCATCACTACATTGTGAATCCTGAAAGTAGTAAAAAGTTTATAAATGATAGGATAATATTTATATTACTTACGTCGAAGTTAAGCTTAATATAGAGCCTTCAATACGTATTTCTGACTAAAATTTGTCTTAAATGAAAATTGCAATTCATTCTTATAATATAAATGTGTCTGTAAAAACATGAACTCTGTACCTGTAAAGTTCAAATTAAAAGATTTTGATGCAATTTGATAAGGACATAGATTACAAAGCTTTTATCCTGCTCCGCTCACTATGCGTGCAGAGCCGTGGGCAAAAACTAGTATTCCATATGTCAGTCTGCTAATTGAAGCCTCTTTATGTGCAACATAGATGTTACTGCGACGTAATGTTGTGCTATACAAATTTGAAAAGCTCTAAAAACCAGTCAAGGAAAGCTCATTTGCCAATATGCACACAAGTGCTCTGATATTATTAACACATATGGTGCACAAGAAACGCGAATCACGCACCACCTTGTCTGCAAATGTTTCAGTGTGAGGACGGCGCGTGGTGCGGGCGTACGCCTCGCGAAGTAGTCTAGCGTCGCAAGGATTTTCATATCGCATTCGCCGTCGAGGCTCGATACCCCCTAAATCTTCCTGCAAAAGAACGAAAGTATTACTACACCTAAACCTGATCAGCGAATTATTACGCCGTCTCTGATATTATTTTCTAAATGTATAAAATTAACATAACAAATACACATAACACTTGTGCGTAATTATTTTAAGTATGTATGTATTTAGCAGGTATAAGAAATAAAATTGATATTATACTAAGAAGTATTACTATTTTATAACATATACATAATACTAACATCTCGCATATTGTAGGTTATTTCAAGATTGTTTACGAATGAAGCGCGAAATTCAGGATAGAAGTCGAGTACGTCAAGCAGGTCATCCCTATGTACCCGATGCAGATCGCAGTAGGTGAGTGCACGAACCCTGCAATTACTACGCCCCACTGTACCATGTACGCACGGGTTTTCACCAAAAATGTCGTCCTTACCTATTATTAACAAAAAAAAACAACATTTTTAAAATTCTTTGGAGTATCTTATAAATGTAAAGATTTGTGTAAATTTTTGTTGTATGAACAAAAATGTATACTAGTAACATCATAGGATAATTTGTATTTTTGCATTTTATTCTATTGTGATACCTTTACTTGTTATTTATATTGTTATCATTAATGTGTAGTTTTATCTAAGAAAATTTAAAGAAAACAAAGAAAACCCCGCAAGTCAAGTAGCGGGGTTAAATGGCTTCGAATAAATACATAGATCATTTAAAAGTACTTGGCCATTCTTATAACCTTCGCAAGATGTATTACTATTTGAGAATATGTCACATTAAAAATACCTAATATGGCCATAACAATATCATCCTTAAGAATTTCTATGGATCCTCTAGATATAAAGTACAAAGATGTTAGAACATCGCCTCGATGAACCAAAGTTTCTCCAGGAGGTGCATGAGTAGTCTTAAATCTTAGAGAGAGCGCCCTGAAATTACGGAAAACAAGGTGTTCAATTTATTTAATAATATGATATAACAAAAATTATTTAATATGTAGATACATTACTTATACGATAATTTACCTTAAGCAACCAGGACTAGCACCTTCAAAAGCAGAACAATTAGCGAGTAAATTTCTGTTTAAATGGAGACAAATGTCAGCTTGGAGACATTCGGGAAAGCCTTTTAATACACTAGATGTGTCGATTCCGTTCGTATAACTCCACGCATGTTGAAAGTATTCTTCTAATCTTTGCCGTAAAGGATTCGTGATCTGTAAATATAACAGGACATGCATCTATAATCTATATAAATAAAAATGAAATGCTGTTCTTTAATAAGAGCATCACGTGAGAACGGCTGGATGGATTTTTGTTTCCAAAAAAGCCTCCAAAAATTGGGAAAATCGGGAAAACTAAAAGTACCTACTTTTTTCTATTGGATTTTTGTACAAAAAAAACCAAACACAAACAAATTTATTAAAATTTGGAAAGAGCAACGTCAGATAATTACCTGGTGAAATCTAATGAACTCCCGAACTCTCAGTATTTGAGTATGATACCTCGCAGTCCCCGAATATAGCCTTTGAATTATTGCGGATACGTTTCCAAAAATACTAGCGTACATAAGAGCTGTAAATAAAAAAATAATAATGAATATACTATTATTATTTTGTTTGCATTTATATATGTCGCAGGTACCTAAATTGTTAAAACAGTAAAAAATAAATTCACTAGTACTTGTCGTTTCCTTTTTTTATATAGTCACAATATCAATGAAGTTGCTTAGGGAAATTATAATATATGTAGGTCTAACATTATCTGCTAGTAGGACAAAACTCCGGGCAATGATTATAATGTCTTTCATTTTACGTAATTGTTTAGACTTTACAATATACCTGCAATATATTATATATATCACAAATGATGGAATATTAAAAATAAAATAAGAAGAATAATTGTTTAACGCTGCGTAGAATTTTAAATATTATATTATCTTTAAATAAAACTACTTCTCTAGATATGTACATATATATCTTCTAAAGATAGTTTTATTTCAAATATTCGCGTAAATCTAAGAAAGTATTACTGTATTATCTATTTCAAAAGGGATAATTAATTTAAAACTATAATATTCAAATTATAACGTACATCCAACAAGCATGACGAATATTGTGAAACCTTTCTCCATATCAGTGTTAGGCGCTACATTGCCAAAGCCGACGCTTGTTAATGATGTACATGTAAAGTATAAAGCGGTGATGTAACGAGATCTGAAATCAAAGATAATTAAGATAATAGATAAGATAATATTATAGAAAATGAAAAACTATTATATTTTCTGTAACTAAATGGGCCGAGTACCTCATCGAAGGTCCAGTAGAGTTGTCGTACGAAGCTTGGACATCGTTAGCGAGCGCGTCAAGCCAGCCAATAGGTGCATGAAGCTGAGGTCTCTCCCAGCTTCCAATTGCGTACCTATAAAAAAATCATATAAGTATATAGAGAAATACGATTGTTGATGCTGTTTTTTTTTCAAATTAGCTTACCATAGACAAGCGAGCCAATGTGCAATAAGGACAAAGGTAGCCATAAGAAGGAGGAGGACGGCAGTACCATATTCGGAGTATCTGTCGATCTTACGCGCCACTCGCACCAGTCGCAATAAGCGCGCTGTTTTCAACAAACCGATGAGGGTAGTCGTCTGCAAACATAGAAAGCACACTGAAAAAGCTGTCCAACAGTTACGTGAAGCAATTTCCTTAGCCGCATACCGAACCCAAGCATTGTATGAACGTTCGCGTAATACTAAGTAGCATTAATGAGGCTTCACAGCGATTTTTCACTTCAAACAAGCGGAAGTTTATCTATGGATATACGATGCGAGCGTCTTCCGAGCTCAGCCATACAGGTATTGCGATTACAAGCGTTGTTTCAAACTATAAAATTAGCTTCTTTATAGGTTGCGGTGCATAAAACTGTAGGTATAATTCTAATTAATTATTTTTATACATTCAAATTAAGGGTATCACTGTTGCTTTCTTACACACTAAACTAAGAAATTATCAAGGCAATATGCTGTTATCGACTTTACTAACCTAATTTGGACTGAGGACAAAATATTTCTACAATCTTATCATTCATTACTGCGGCTAAATATTCTTAACATTACGCGCATAAATAATATGTTATGAGTGTGTTAATCATACAGGTGCATTGTGACGAGATATGTTGGTTCTCACAGCTTTGAGGGGTTGAATAGGTACTATAAATATGCATTTGAACACGCTTTAAAAATGTTATACGAGTAACTTACTTATCATCGAAATTTTGTTATTGTTTTAAATTAAATTGCTTAGTTATTATAAAATTTACATATAAGCTTTTAAACTAATTATTAATATTAATTACACTTTTTACATCTAGCGGATTGGTGTAGAAAATAAAATGAAAAATTATTTTAAACAGTTTATTTGCATAAAACAAATATAACTCCCTATTAATAAAATATACTATTGTAAAAATATCATCAGTTTTTTTTCTAAATTTTGAAAAATTCTTTTAAACTGCATTTTTTTAATAAATTTCCCTAAATGCCACGTAGGTGGGTGCCACATGAATGCAATATGTATCAATACATATAGTTTAGTGCTTTGTTATGTAGTGAAAATGCAATTTTTACAAATAATTCGTCTGGGAAGTGTGAGCGTATTTACTACCAAGCTCTGTGCACTTCGTGACTTGCACTTTACTATGGACTAAAGCTTATGATAATGTTTTGCCTAAAGTAAAAAGTGATTATAATATATAATGGATATCTCTATGCAGGATTGAAGCTCTCTTCTTAAAGCCTTTCTTATTAATGATTTATTTGTATGTAATGCATTTATTTTTAAATAAATATACAAACATACAGAATGTCTGCATTGTAAAAAAAAGTATAATCATAATTTTATGACTGCCCTGTTCAATATTATAATTTGATAGATAATTATTACGAGCAAGACATAAAAATTGTTTTTCCAAAAAAAAAGTATACGCTACGTATATTTCCGTAGTAACTTTTTGATACTTCCGGTTTTTATTTTGTTTGGTTCACGTTAAGATTAATTTAGGTTTTGAATTCATTTTACATATTAAGTAGGGAATGTCATGCTAGCAAAGATGAAGGCCTTCATTACCTTGCCTCTAGTTGCGTTCTACGCCTCTGCAGGAAACAAATGAAACTCGTCAATACTCAATGCTATATAATATTTCTCAAGCTACCTTGCATAAAACAAAATTGGAGACAAAATGTTCAAAGTCTATATCGCTTTTATGCACTAGAGGTAGAGCAAAAGCTGTGGCTACTGTCAAAAATCAATGCGGATCTCATATTTGGATAACTATAATTTCGCCCCATTTGTTTATATTTGAAATATAGGTGGCGAAGCTCGTGATATAGCGAGTGAGCACTTCATAGATTTGGCGCTGTGTAAAATTCAAAAACAACTTTGCTCATGGGAAGCGTCCTCATCTTCCATTAACGCATTCGCTTAGTGGATTTAAAATGGCTAGTGGAAATTAATTTCAAAGTATAAAACTAAAATGTAAGAAAATAGAGTGGCAGCAACATAAAAATAGTTCACAAAGATGGTATACCTCATCACTTTCCAGCCCCTGCTGTAACAAGAAACGGTATTACAAATTCAGTACGCACCCACCTTGGGTAATCTCCATACCGACTTTACGTCGAACTAAATAGTCAAATACTTTCGGAATCATATTAGTCAAAAGAACCTACTAATTAGTACATGTTACAAGTTTAATTATAAATTATATTTGAAAAAAACTAAAATAATTACAAAATAATAAACATCAGTTATAAAAAATAATAAGGATAGATAATATAATGGCGGTCGAATTTTATTTAATTTCAAGATAAGTATTAGCCAATTTAATCTGAACAGTAGTGTGGGGATTGTGATTGGCATATTATATCGTTTAGTAATCGTGTTGTTATATTCAAGTGACAGCTGCGTTAACTGCATTCCACTACTGTACGTGAACTTCTAAGATTTTATCCAGAGCTTCATTTGTCCGAAAGTAATATTGGAGGCTTCGTTCGCTTAAATTATAGTTTGTAGGCATTCTGATTTATATTTCTTCCCCTTTAAGTAATCTTCGTGAAAATATAACTCGACCTACTTTTCTAACGACCCATTTTATCATTCTCTTAACAAAGTGAATCGTGTTCCGCGATTTTAATCTTACATAAGAGGTGTGTATTTAATACGCCAAAGTTTTTACATTACACTTTTATTGCTACGTTTGAATTGTATTGTGTGTATCTGTTATACCTATGAAATTTATACGAGTTTCCTATAATGTTCTGACACTTGGCGTTTCGGACAATTGATCGTCTGGTGGCTATTACCTTCTAAATCAGGCATTTATTTTATGTACTATTTCTATTTAAGTCATGTGTAGATGTGACATGATATCATATGAGTTGGTGAGTGGGTGCGAGGTAAAGGCGGCTCACTTCGTCGGTGTCGGTTCCGAAGAGAAGTAGGTCGAAGGGGATGGCGGCGACAAGGTCGATGACAAACCACCCTCGCAAATAATGCAGGGCGATTTTCCCGGGGTCTGATTCCACTTCGTCTGCTGCGTTCACGTACGTAGTGCGGAAGTTGATTAGGATGTCTATTATGAATGTCACGTCCACTGGAAATATAGTAGGGATAATGCAAATCTTGAAGAAAACCTGAATACATACGTTTTCGTGCATCTTCTAAATTATTTTTTTAGCAATAATTTTATTTTCAAAAGCTAGAAAAATTGGCATTTTTTTATGAAAGTATGAAGAGAAATTAATAAGTTCACATAAATTATTACCTATCATATCAATAACTACTATAGGGTCCTGGCCAAAACCTCGCGATCGTTTGTCGAAATCTGGTTCGTTCAGCTGGAAAGCGGCCACGTAGGGGGTAAATATTGCGGTGTAGATGACCAATATCAGAATCAACCAATCCCAAGCGGCCTGAAACAAAAGTTAATTCATTTGATTTAAAGGTTAAATAAACTTTATATAAGTATATTATATGTATATCTAGTGCGAACTAAATACTGACGAGACATTGTTTTTTGTCTTTGGTTCTGAATCTGTACACGAACCAACAAAAAGATGTAAAAAAATAATTTGGTTTCTCAACACAAATGTTAAAAATATAGGTAAACTATACTGTAACAATAAAAACCTAAAGTATAATATAAATTCTCTGAAAAATAACTTTTAAAATAATAGCGTGTAGCGTAGGTTGCGCTTTTGCGTGTTGAAAATGAACGAGGTCGATGCGGCAAATATTTTTTATTTACCAGCGCTAACAATTACCCACCAGAATTCCCTAACTACAACATACATTAAAATATCATACTTTTATTGATTATTTTACACAAGTAAAGCAATTTAAAGTAAGTAGCATAATAATCAACTGTCGTCAATGAACAAATTGAAAAGGATTCGCTCTAACATACATTTTCTAAATGATCTGTTTCCAATTCTTACAATAGAATTGTAAATTTTGGTTTTGACAAGTAATAAGTAGTCAATATTAAATACAGAATATTTTTAAACTTCAAATGATATGTATCTGAGTATTATGAGTATTTAACAAAAAAAAAAACAATACATAATGATTTTCCAACTCAGATTATAATTAAATTCATATTTTTTTTGGATCTACCCATCTAAGGGGTACCATGACCATTTATGACATTGTTTTTCCCAATGTGACTTTTTGTCTTAGTAAAAAGTAAATAAAAATCATTTTGTTATTTAGAATTATCTAATTAATTAGACAAAAATATAAATTATGTCACTTATGTAAAATAATTTATTTGACGAAACATTGATGAGTTATTGTGCGCATCTGCGAAGCTTCTGACATAGTAGCGTCAGTAAAATAGTGGCACGCGAGTCGTAGTACGGAATTATTTGCGACATATTCATATAAAAGACAAAATCAGCAAATAATTTGTACATACGAGTTTATAGATACTCGTATAAGAGTGTGCTACATACATTTGTCTTATAACATCTTGTTAAAGTCAGGGCGTGTCATTAATCTGTATATATTAGAATATTACTCAATGATATATAATCTATATTGTATTATTTATTGATAAAATTATTACTTTTAAACAAAATACTTGTTGTTAAAAAAATAAATTTAGATAGTTTACTTTTTAAAAGTAGAATTGGCCATATTAGTGAAATCAGGGTACTCTCAATTTGCGACCGATATTTTGTTAGTATAAACTTTGTTCTCCAAGTTTGAACATAGCCGCTAAGCAGTACCTTATAAATTATGGCTAGATTAAATCTGAACTACTTATAATTGAAAATGTAAATATACTTAAAAGTTAAGATATTTTTTTTATTTTTAATTCCGTATATTAATAATAATACTAAGCATTTCAATTAAATAGAAGAAAGTCTTTATTAGGTTTAATCATAGTATGATGTTCTCCTGACTGATTCCGGCCACGGCGGCCCATCTTATTGAGACTAGCCAACTGCGCAGGAGATATTATAGTGCACAAGTGTACGCGCAGACACAACGTGCACTCTCTATTCTTGTCACTCTCATACTCCGGTGGGACGACACGAGACACGACCAGTGAGAGTTAAGGCGAAGGACCGACGGCTTTACGTGCTTTCCGAGGCACGGGGGTGAAACACCGCCAACTTCCCAACTCCGGGCTGTTACTGAGGCTTACTATACAGAAAGACTCAATAACTAAACTTGGCCCGACCCGGGACTCGAACCCAGGACCTCCAGGTATGCAGCCGTACATGCTAGCCACTACACCACCGAGGCAGTTGAATCAATATCGTAGTATAGTCACTTACCTTATAAGGAGAATGGTGGAGGATAGTGCAGGGATGTGATGGTTGCGTGGTTCCCTTGTGGCCGCCCGTCGCGCCCAGTGACAGGACCTGCGAACAACAGAGCCCGTGATACGTAAATGTATACATAGCTGGTAGCATTCCCCTATCTTATAATAAATGCTATAAGTATGTTAAAGTACCAGTTTCCTTAAAATTGCACTTTCATTACCATAATATATCATGATTATATCACGTTGATATTACAATCATAATATAATTAATTATACAATAATAAACAATAATGCTAAAGAATATATGTAGTAGGTGCTCGTTTTTCCTTTACATTTGGTTTACTACTACTTACGTTTGAAAATAATAGGGATAGACTATTTATTTTTAATACCTTTTAAATAAATAATACCAAGTGAAATTTTACGCGTAATATTAAAATCTTGTAGATGACTTATTGTACACCATACTTAGTAACTGAAATAGAAAAATAATTACCCAATGAGAGGCTCGATCAAGCTCAATAACCCTGTGAATTGCATGGGTTAGGCAACGACGCTTGAGTGTTCCGAACTGGGCTTAAAACCATCAATAAATAATGTCTTACACGATTTATCGATATTTTCCTGTTAAATAAAAGAAATTGTTCATTTCTAACATATCCTCGGAATAATTCAGGGAAAACTGAATGACTTCCAAAAAATTTAGACAGAAAATAAAAATTGTTTATCCAAAATTAAAGAAGAGCAATAGTAGCCTATCTATAGCAAAACTACCTGTTAGAACTAAATAGTACAGGGATGTATAAGACATTCAGGTTCAACTACAATATCTATGTCATTCAAATCTAGCAGTTTAGTTTTAGACGTGATTTGCACCTAAAACTAGAAAGACACTTTCATGCCTCCTTTACTTCGATCGCTACATGGTTTTTGGGTAGCTTGCATTAAAGTATTCACTATACTGTTTATTTAATTATAAGCGAGTTTCATGCTTATTGATTGTTAGTGTTATGTGAAAGTTTTGTATATTTTTTTACCGCAACTGAGCTTGTTGCGGCTTAAAACTTACAAAGGTTGAGTCCCCTACGTATATTATGATTTAACGCTTCACAATGTTTATTTATTTTATTATAATGTAATTTTTTATTTAATAGAGATATTTTTATTTTATTATGTGTTAACGAATTTATATATATGTAACATATCTATACTTATTATAAAAATAAGTCCCCCGGCCGCGTCTTTCTGTCCTCCTGTCTGTCCTCCTGTCTGTCTGTACGCGATAAACTCGAAAACTACTGAACGGATTTTTATACGGTTTTCAACAATAGAAAGAGTAATTCTTGAGGAAGGTTTAGGTATATAATTTATTATGCTTTTATGTAAATTAGCTGAAATACGGCGACAAATGTTGAAGAGGTCGCAAAAAATCTCGCCAAATGGGAACTTTCCACGCGAACGCCGCGTAAACTAGCAAAGATACAGTTAAGTAATGTACTAGAGAATTCAAAATCTATAAAAATGCTACAAAAAAGTCCGCGATAGCATATCTCTATCTCTTACGGTTGACTTACAATAACCACTTTTATGTTAACATTTTTAATTAAAAACATAACGTTATTTTCAAAGTTATTTTCTTTAGTTCGGTATTAATCCTTATCCAAATGAATATTTTAGTTAGCTTAGTCATTTAATGCAGATTAAAATTGCTCTTTACACTAAATCAATCAGATGAATAGTTTTTGAGATATCGTTGTTAGAAGTAATTAGTAGCGAAACATTTTTAATGCTTGGCGAGCATTGAGATGCCTACGGCGAGTCCATCCCCTCTGCCCCGCATCGCTCGACCGCCTGCTCAAGCTATATAAACCGGGCGATGTAGCGCGCGATCCTAGGATACTTTTTACCGCGGGAAAATATCTTATTTCTGAGGAAAAATACAAAAACTGCAATGTAAGAGTATACTAATATGTAACACCTAAGAATTTAGTTTTTGGTCATCTGAACGCGGGCGGAGCCGCGGGCAATGCTAGTTAATTTATAATACTATGTTACGTACGTACGTTATAATCAAAAATGAAGTCATATTACTAAGAACGAGTAAATATTTATTGAAATATTTACTTATTTTACTTATGTTTTTTAGAAAATAATAGTTCTGTTGACAATTTATTTTCACTTCATAGTAGTGAGTTGGTTAGTTTATCTTTCATTCGTGTAGCGTTGTGCTAACAGTGACATATGCTACGTGTGATCCTGGTACATTAGTTCAGAAGCTGGTGCATAAATCTTGTTTAATTAACACTAGGAATTTATATTATTAGCAATATCTATAAATAAAATATATATGAAATAGAATTAAAAATTGACATGAGAACTCTACCTTGCAAGGTAAAAATAAAATTAAAATTGTGTATTAAAAATAAACGATCGAAAACGAATTCGCAAATGATCTACGCGTGAGCGTAAATTATACCGTGAAAGATTTTGAAATAACATTTTTTTAAATTTCATAATAAATTTATTGAAACAAAAACTATTTGGCAGTGTTTGGATTTGTCAGACCAGAACAGAATGTGAAAAATAGGTCACTAGATTGAACTTACTGGGTGGAACTAAAACGATTTCAAAGCTATTACTTTAAAAAAAAAGTGGTGTTTTAAACACTAGCTTTTGCTCGGCTATAAAAAAGTATGTCGTAAACAGTAAATATTTTTATATTGCTATTTTCTAGTTAATTATCTATACTAATATTATAAAGAGGTAAAGTTTGTGATCTTGTGAGTTTGTGACGTTGTAGGGGGTAATCTCTGGATCTACTGAACCGATTTTCAAAATTTTTTTACCAATAGAAAGCCACGTTCTTTCTGAGTGTCATAGGCTATATATTAACCCGAAAAACGAAAAAGCTTCTTCGTGGTAGTCGGATTTGCAAAGTAAGTCGGAGAAAAAACGGTCGAACGAAAACGTTTCTTACAATGCCTACAAAAAAAGTCAGCTACAGCATAAGTCTAACTTTTGTATTTAAGTCACAGAAGTAGTTTTTTATATTAAAAAAATAATTTAAATCGGTAGGTCATGTTTATTGGTCATATTATCAACAATTATGAATTCTTATCAAAATAAGTAAATTTATCGTCTAAAATGTTTAAAATAAAAGACTTTTTCCTTTGACTGCATATAATTTGGACAAATGGTTAAAGAGATAATACAACGTATTCGTAGGTATGGACGAACCCGAGCGAGCTGTTTGTCTGTTTTTCTGTTTGTACGGGCTAATCTCTGAATCTATTGGACCGATTTAAATGAAATTTTGCATGGTGGTACCTCATATCCCCGGGCAACATCTTAGATACGTTTCATCCCGGAAAATTAAAGAGTTCCCGTGGGATAGATAAAATACTATAGTAACTTATACAGCTTAGTACACAACTTATCCACCTAATTTAGTAAAATTTGGCATGCTGATACCTTATATTGCCGGTCAAACAACAGGTTACTTTTCATCCCGGAAAAATGAACGGTTCCCGTGGGATACATCTGTTTGTGCTTTTCTAGAGGTGAACCCGAGCGATGCGAGGGTGAGCCGCTAGTATTATATTCTTCGTAAAATGAATATAATATTTAGGTTATTAGTTATTTCTTTATTTTTATAATCTATACTTAGATCGCTACATTAAATACTTTTTAAAAGTTAGTGGGATAGATCTGTTTGTGCTTTTCTAGAGGTGAACCCGAGCGAAGCGAGGGTGAGCCGCTAGTATTATATTCTTCGTAAAATGAATATAATATTTAGGTTATTAGTTATTTCTTTATTTTTATAATCTATACTTAGATCGCTACATTAAATACTTTTTAAAAGTTGCTTGATTTTCACCATTGATGTATGTAGGTGTAGAAATAGATGGTTTTTATTTTTTATAATTACAATCGTGTTTCCCAATTCATGCAAAAACCACAAAAAAAATTGTAGAATTTTAATAGCGATGATGTAAAAGCTTCGATTGTAGTTCATATAATATACTTATTCTGTACTTAATATATATGTTTTTTTATATATTTATTTATTTTATCTTCATATAGATATTTCAGTGTTTTAGTGTTATAGGAGAAAAGAGTTTAATAAAAAAGGTTTTTCGAACAAGTTGCTTTTATGCGAAAATTGCAGCTTGGATTTTCATTTGATTTTCAAAGATAGTGGATGAGATAAAAATATAAGTATTAGTGTAAGTACGCGGGGTGTATTACAAGGCACTGTTGATTGAAATAATATGAAATTAGTTTTTAAATTCTAAACGAACAAATAACAGAAGTTTTTTTTACCGTTAATTGTCAAATGTAGATACTTTACGTGGTTAAAGAAAATAAAAAAAATAAGATCTTGATACTCACTAGATCACTATTATTTGAAATAAACGGCATTTATGGGATATCATTAAAAGGTAATTTTTAAAGAGAAGAAAATCCTGAGCGATGCGATAAGAGGTGCCATAGAGTCTGACTCGCCAGGGAAGCGAGGGCACGTCGTGTCGGTACTAAATATACATATTCTGTACGGACTATATTAAAAACTATACGGATTACCTATAACTAGAATGCGAACGTTTGTATGTGAATGTATGTTTGTTACGCTTTCACGATGAAACAGCGGCACGGGTTTCGATAAAAATCAGTAAACAGGTAAACTAAAACTTGGAGTACCTATTCTTAGTTAGTGATCTAGGGAACCACCTGAGCGAGGTGAGTCTAATCGCTAGTATAATACTACTGTTGTTAAACTTCCGTTCCTATATATAAAATAATAAGTACAAAGATACTCTGTACTGTGATATCTAGTGTTATCACCAGTTTCATACATGATATGATCGCAGTGTTAGGTAAGAAAAGCGTATTTTACAAATGTACAATTGATATGAAAAGCGTAGGAGGTTACCTATTAAATTTTTTAACATTATATAGAACTTACCTTTAAGGATATACATATTTAAAATAATGTTCAATGTTTTTATTGCAAACTGAATTATGTAGGCATACCTCTTTATATATTACATTCATAATCATAAGCACATTTTTTAATAAAAAGTATAGTTAACATGTTTTTTAAATATTTTTATTATAGTTTATTCCAGTTTTAGTATAATAGACAGTGGTGCTAGAAATATCAAAGAAATTATAAGTTCAATAGGTATTTAAAATATTGTATAAAGATAATACATGAAAACATTGGCCTGAAGTATGTTTTGCCCTTCATCGCGGCGCAGAGGGATAGGAAATTCACAGAATTTGTTATATTTTTGCAGCAAAATAAAGTACATCGAAACAATCAACAAGCTGAAGCTTTGTGGAAATACAAATAAGGAGATGTCACTTTTGAATAGATATTTTATGATCAAATGATTCGTTAACATATTAAATCCAATCGTCTTATCAGCCAGATACGTGAATTACCTCCTTGCCGATGGCGGGCAACCCGTTGAGGCCATTACAGGGCGGTTCGAGGCGAACGACGCTTTTTCGGGAGCCACGGAAACTGGTGTCACGCACACGTACTGAGGAGCGCCAGGTGGAGGGCGGGGGGTCGTCGCGCGAGCCGCGGGCGGAGGCGGCGCGTCGCGAGGTGGTGAGTGCCGCGCCCGCGCACGGCGGGGTCACGATCAACGGCACGTCGGGGGGCCCGCGCTCCTCCATGCCGCTGCCGCGCCAACGCTCTCACCGGAACCCGCCGTGCTCGGACGCCTCCAGGTGCTCACATTCCAGCACGGCTCTCTCGAAGGCCGACGCCGTCTCCAGCAGGGCAATGGCCGTGTTTTGCATAGATGCGCGCTTATCTCCACTCCCTCCTCTGATTTCGATACGTATAGGTCACGTTAGGTTAACTTAAGTTAAACAAATATAAAATCTTTGTAACGAAAACGTTGATATGTTTACTATGGTATGGTTTTATTCGACAAATTGAGAATCATGGTAATACACGTGATTTACTTTTGCTTGTGCAACATTTTTAAACAATATACTTTCTAAAGTTGTTATTGCCAATTTCATCACGCTATGTGAATGATAATCTAACGGCACTATTTTGGATTGTAATAAGAAAAGACGTGACGTGCTGTAGACACCTAATAGAATAGAGAAGGTTTAGAAGAAGTCAGAAGTATTGAAAAGACAATTTAGTATTTTCTTTATTTTTTAACGTGATACTTGAGTAGTAGAAAATAGAAATTTACTGACAAATTGAGTATTCTTTACAGTAATATAAAATTAAGTAGGTACGTAGGTTGTGGAGTGACGATGACAACGTATAGAATATAGATAATTGTTTACGAGGTCAGTTTCAAACAGTTTTTAAGAGAGATATTATTTTAATGACCATTCTCGTTACTTTTTAGAGTGGGTGGTGGTCTAGAATAGTGCTAGCTATTCGTTATAGAGGCGCTAGGGCTGAAAGCGGTAAACGAGGCCGCGCCTTATTCAACAGTGTGTCAACGGGTGGTCGGTCTATTCATCGTTTTTGCCCCTGTTTAACGTTAACATTTCCTTGCTTGGATATAGGCGAGTTGCACCTCTGTAGTTAGATCAATGTAGATTTTACTCATTTTTAAAGGTACGAACTTGGTAAAGTTTCTACATTTGTAGTTTTAACTATATATTTCCTGTCACCTATATAATAATTATATAAATATATTGAACTAAATATTGTATCCTAAAAGTATTGTCACATTGGTAAGCATCCGCAGAGCGAGAAAACTTAAATAAATTAATAGATATTGAACTTCAATATCTTATTGGTAACATTAATTGTAAAAACACGTTTAAAACAAAGTTATCTCTCAAATGATGGCAAATAGTCTGTTATCATAGATATTTTTCTTATGTATTGTAACTTATGATAATGTATTGTTTAATTCCTACTTATTATAATATTGTAACAAGGTTGTAGAAGTCTTCAGTAAACTATAGATAAAAATAAATGTTGTGTAAAGTATTAAAATGGAGCCTGAGTGACAGGCGAAAAAGTACGTAACAAAGTTATATAACTACGTAGAGTCTAATGTACTCGTATTTACATATCCATAATTATCATGTGAACAAAGAAACGAAAATGCTCTGTACTTAAGTGCTTATTTTTAAGTATGCACGGCGCCATATTTACATCCTATTATTTTTATACATACATTGCGAAAAACTAGTGTAGGTAATAGATAAGTTATATTTTGTTTGCAAAATCTATGATGTAAGAAGAAAATATTATGATCTTATTATTGTCTTATTTTATTTAAGATGTGTTCTAAATATTTTAATATGAAAATGTATTGAATATCATTCAAATCTATTTGTAAAATGCGTGCCTCGTACTGCTAAATATTTAGGGTTTCTTCATGCTTTAACTATAAACTATAATATACTGCGGATAAACTACGGAACTACTTATAAAAATAAAGTATATTGTGCTGAGTGGTGCGAGTATCTTTGTAATTGTAATAATATGTGGATTCGTTTCTTAAATCGTCTGTCAAATTTCTGTACACATTCTTTACATATCGGAATGTGGGAGGGGCTGCATTCTCTGCATAGTTTTTACGTCACACCCGATCTATACTTAGTATGTATTCTCAAAAAATTATATATGGGATATGGTACCTATTAGCACGAGGTCAAATGAAGTCGATTTTATCAGTTCAGTTAAAAGACTTCTATAGTAAGAATTTTGAAATATAGCATATAAGCAAAGCGAAATGTAAAGTTTTCAGTTTTTTTTTCATACTCTCATACAAAGCTATACTACTGTAATATTGTTTTGAGTTTCTTCGAATATAATAATCACGTTTTGCTCTTAAAACTTTGGTTTTGAAATGAATTTCCAAACGAAGCTCCTCAAAATCTATAATGTTCTACGAGTACAATGACTGATATACAAGGCTGCCAAAAGCGTTACGTTATTCGAAAGTGTCGTCTTTTAACTGTATATATAATATCATGAATGAAGTTGATTTTCATTCAGAGAGAAAGCACAAGATACGATAAATCTAAAATGATTATATATTTGATGTAATGAATAAACTACCTTTCGTTACTAAAAAGAATAAGAGGTATATAACGTAGACAAAGGAAACCATACCATGGTAGTCATAACTCCAAGCATGGATCGCGTTTTATCACAATAATAGCAAAAAAATACTAAAGTAAATAAAAATAAATAAATCGCAAAGCTTGCAACTAAAGTAACGACAAAAAAACACCTCTTAAGAACCGACGCACTGTCCACAGTATGAACTAAGCACAGGACGGCACCACTGATATTCGATTATTACGTTACGCACAAGCTTTTGTGACCACTTAGAATATTTGATATAATCGTGAAGCCCTGTAGCTGTACTGTAGCGCAATAAAAGCTGCAAAATTTGACCGCAAAACGATAATAACAGTTTTTACTTTTTAATGCAGCCGATCGATTAAGCAAGCACTCGACTCATTTTATATACTTTTGCACATATTATCGAGAGCCTAAAACGTATCGGATCAATTTATTGCATGAAACGCGTCAACGGCATAAATCGCGTCGACGTTCACGAGAGGCGAAGCCCCTGGAACGGATATTTAGATAACAATTCGATGGCAGTGTGAGAGGCGGTAGAGTCCGCAGCGTGGTCACCGGACTTAAACTCTACAGTTGCGCGGCGCACGCAGAGGTCGCTGTGCGCGCGTCGATGCCTCACGCCGCGGCGGCGCCCGGCCCGAGCACCGCCGGAGCCGCCCGAGCCGAGCGACGTGACCTCGCACAACCTCCTCACCACCTCCCCAACACCTCCACCACCGTCCACCACCCATCGAACGTTACAGCTGAACGCATTGTTGCTACTCGCTATACCGTGGCAAGACTCGGCCCGCGATCCAGCTAGACTGCTTGTAACGATAAGCCACATCAAACGCACTTATTTCACTCTAATCCACCGTAACAGTCAATAGATTTCAAATATCAAAGACTATAGATAATAATAAACCTATACGTAAAAGAATAAATCTATACGTTGTCCATATGTTTATGGACAACGTATAGATTGATTCTGCCTGAAAAGGCAATCAAACCTAAAAATCGGTTTTCATTATTCAGAGTATTGTACGGTAATTTATTTTGTTTCTATATAGTATTTTTAAAATTTTCACAATATATTATAACAATATATTTTAAATATTGACGATGATTTAATATAAGTCGAGGTTTTAACTGTCTTAATACTCTACAATGGACTATGTCTCTGCTGCTCAAAGATCTTTAGGAAATGTTCCTTTGATCCTTTAAATGTCGAAAACTATAAGCAAATGCCACAACAAAATAATTTTTATGTGTAACTTTATTTCATACTAAAAAATGAATTTTAATGGTCGGTCTGTTATAAACCGCTCTAAAATGATGAAGACAAATTACAAAACAATAAAATATAAAAATAGGAACGACACTCTGTACATATTTTAAACGAGAATTGAAAAAGTTTTGTTCAATATTTATTACGTTTGTAAATAATTCTTCTACTACTATTTTATTATTATATCCTAACTAAAACTACCTTCTCACAGGAGAGACCAATCTCTGACCATGATTGCTGTAAAGCATTCGAAACGTCGGGAACCAAAAATCAAAATAAATTGGCGAAAAAATCCGAAAAGATAGTTTTATTTAAAATGTCAAATATTCGCGTAAATCTAAGAAAGTATTATATCCTAACTCCTTGAATGACCGAATTTTTACAAATTATAATAGATTATCACATCTTCGGTGACAAGTTGACACACCACTTTTTTTTTAATTTAGCTGATCTACTTCCTTATTATTATTATTTGCTTACAGTTTTCACTGCCCTTTTTTAACCCTACCCTTTTTAGTGGGCCTAAATTAAAAACATAATAAATGTCAGTTCAACATAATACCATTTAATTTATTCCTTTCCTTTGATTTTTTAAACCTTCAGCTTTAATACGTACTCAAACGTCAAATAGGTTCATTACAATGCCACCATAAGTTTAGTATAAAATTTCAAAACCTGGTTAAAAAGTATTTGAGAACTACAAAAACTATTTACAACTAGTGATTCTCGCTCGCTTTACTTAGCTTGCTATTCTCTATTAGCTATCCCACAGACATCATTTAAGATGTGATGAAAATAGCAGTCTATGTCACTTCTTGATTAAAAAAAAAGACTTGTTTTTTGCTTAGATACCACGTGAAAATAGCAAAAAAATTATGTCTAAAATGAAAAGTTTGCCGTTTTTGTCCATAAAACGCCAGTTTGCTTGTAAAAATATCTTAATTTACTCGTATGTTTAATATTCGCCGCATTCGAATTTTAAAACAATATTTTAATGAAAATTGATAGACATCAAATGACAAAAATGTAGTCGACTTCGTTTGGCATTTTGCGTCTTTGAGTCGCGTCGTTATTTAATAGTTGCTACTGGTTAGAAGTACGAGTGAGTGTGTATGAGAATTATCTTTTTTTTTAATTTTGGGAAATGCATTTACGCATACCACCTGTACACAAACAGTTTATGTGGGACTCACCGGCATAAGAGAAGCCAGTACTACCTACTAAAACCGAACAGAACCTCCTTCGTCTTAATTGCTTGCTTATACGCACTTAACTACGATGCCCCGACGGCAGGTCTGACGCTGAGGCAGACCATACAACCAAGGGGTTGCTCCAATGGTCTATTCGGCTGTCAGAGAAGTACCAGGAGCAACCCTCATAGTACACCGCTCACCGAATATGTTTTAGTTAGTGAAAATTATTTTGGAATACGGACAATTAAAAATTATTATGGCAAATGTATTGTCGACCGTCAGATGATAGGACGCCGTGCTAATATAATTTGTATTTAATATTTGAGTCGTTTAGCATTTTGGTTGGGCACGGTATAAGGGCAATATTTTTCCTCCTGCTTTATTTCTGGATGTACTTACTAATTGTATATTTAAAAAAAATATACTTTTGTTGAAATCAGTCCTTAAAAATGTGTGCATAATAAAAGGATCGTTTAAAACCATATGCATTTATAAAATTGAAAATTATTTTATGTACTTTTTAATGTGCGCACACAGGTTCGAATTATATTATAAATATTCCATAGCAACGAAATTACGTCTAGAGATTATATGGAAAAATACAATTTTCTTTCTTAATTTGTACGGATTTTTTTACTGGCCAACAACATATATACTAAATAAAAACTTTTCATACGTAAAAAAAATTATATAGCGTTAATTTCAGTACGTTAAATTGCAACCGGTTGTTGCGATAGCTTGTATCGATCAATGCATTTGAATATTTTATGAAGACGCTGCTTGCATTCAGCCGTTGATTATTATATTATAATAACATACATAATATATTATACATTACTTAGTTAACAAGAGAATGTCAATGTATTTGTGTAACATAAAAGATATGTAAACTTGTAAGCTAACTCTAAAGATAAAATAGTCAGATCGACTTTTGGATCGAGATCCCACTGCAAGATTACTACGTTCATTGCGTATTTAATAGAAATCAATTTTTTATATACAATAATAAAAGGGACAATATGTTTTGACCGCTGTGCCTATTCAAATGTGCCCGCTAGTATGTTTAATTAACTGAATAATAGTTGACTTTTTGGAATAAAAACGATGCATTTATTATTACAATGAATTATACTCCACTTCACAGAACTATACGTAGAGATCTTGAAAAATGACAACAAACAGATAACTAACGCGCTAACTCTCTTTCACTTTAATCTATCTTTGCCATGGTAACTGTTGTTATTGTCTGACAAATGACATATAATATTATATTCTTTCCTTCTTTTCTTTCCATTGCGGCCACTTTTACATAGGTGAGAGGTATTTCATCATGAACAGAAAAAAATTAACGTATAAATGTAACAAAAACACTTTTAATGACTCGCAACCACTTTTTCGGCCACTTTTACATAGGCAGACGTAGTTTATCAGGTACAGAAAAAAATTTGCTTTAATTTGATATATAAATGATGCAGGCACGCTATGAACGCAAAAACATACCAAAATATGACCCGCTTATACCTGCCTACCTAACTGGCTGCGAAGAGGTTGCGGCCAAATGCGCAACGGCAGCTATCATTTTTTAAGATCTCTACGTATAGTTTTGTGAAGTGGAGTATAATTCATTGTAATAACAAATGCATCGTTTTTATTTCAAAAAGTCAACTATTATTTAGTTAATTAAACATACTAGCGGGCACATTTGAATAAGCACCCCGGTCAAAACATATTGTCGCTTTTATTATTGTATATAAAAAATTGATTTCGATTAAATACGCAATGAACGTAGCAATCTTGCAGTGGGATCTTAGTCCATTTAGAACGAGGAGAACATTATTTGAACCAGCTGCAGTGAGGATGATAAAAATTAAAGCATCGTACTTCTAAAAAAATATCCAATCATTTGGTAGATGGAAAGCTGTTTGAGAGTTTGGAAATTGATATTATTAAATATCTTGACCTGCTTAATAAAAACCGGCCAAGTGTGTGTCGGGCAATGTAGAGTTCCGTAGTTGCCCATCACAATAATGTGGACTGAGAAAGGGTCTTTTTTAAGGATGTTATGATGTTATTTTTGTATATTTTAACAGCTATTCTAAAATTATAAAGAGGAAAAAATTATTGTTTTGTTCGTTTGTTTGTATCGAATAGGCTCCGAAACTACTAAACTGATTTAGATGAAATTTCGTAAGAAGATAGTTTGATACCCTGGGAAGGACATAGGATAGTTTTTATCCTGGAAATCATCCCTTAAGCTTAAGGAGGTAAAAATGGGGGTGCAAGTTTGTATGGGGAAACAACCTAGGGACGAAACTGAGCGAAGCGAGGGTGAGTCGCTAGTAGTTCATAAACTTACAGTACCTGGGCCACCGAGCTTCGCTCGGAGTTTTTGGTTCAAAAGTACAATTTTCTTTAAAAAAAATTCAATAAATACAAAAAAAAAAACAAAAATAAATTATACCTTTGTATCCGACCGGGATTCGAACCCGGACACCTATGATTGTCAATCTTGCGTCTTTTTTTTAAAAAAACTAAAAACTTAAATAAATATTAAAAAAAATAAAATTAAAAACTTTGTATGCGACCGAGATTCGAACCTGGACACCTGTAATTGTTGATCTTGCACCTTGGCCGCTTGACCACGATGCTTATTCCCGAGCGTGCAAATTACCAACCATATTTTGCGTGGAATAGCAAAAGAAAACTGCATGAAAACTCGAAAACACGCGTTTTCTCAGACATAAGACTAATCTAGATCAATGTATCACTCCCGAAATCCCCGGTATACTAAATTACATGAAAATCGTTGGAGCCGTTTCCGAGATTTAGATTACAATAAAAAAAATAGTATTATTATTCGCCAATAGATGTCAGAAAGAGTCATTTTTTCTGTTTATGTTTAAGTGGCAACATTAGGACTACCCATACGACACCTTTTTATTATTTTTTTCCAATAAAAAAAAATATGTTTATGTTTTAGTTGATTATCGATAAATTTAATTATTGAAAACACGAATAAAACGACATTTTCTAAAAATACTTGGGCCACCGAGCTTCGCCCGGAGTTTTTGGTCTAAAGTACAATTTTATTTAAAAAAAAACTTGAATAAATACATAAAACACTATTTTGCCCGCGTTCAGACTGCAAAAAAGTATTTGGATGCATAAAGATATTATCTATACCTACATGTAATAAAACTGTAGAGGTCGAATGTCTGTACATAGAAAAAATACGCTAAAAACAAAGTCGAGTATATATATATATATATATATATATATATATATATATATATACAGGAATTTCTCGTTAAATATATTAGATTTATTTATTCACAAAGAATCACTTCGGTTAAAAAACAAAGTCAT